GCTTGGAGTCTTCTGGGTGAATATGCACGTGCTGCTGTGTCTTGGGCTTCCTTCTGTGAAGCGAGTTTTCTGCACGCGGATGCTTTCCGACCTGTTTCCAGCCAGGGCTGTTCTTTTCCCCTGGGTAGGGTGGGTGTGTCGCAGGCCTAAGGCAGCACCTGCGGGCGCCCAAGGGAGGAGGCAGTATCTCACGCCGGACCCACAAAGCCAATGTCAGCGCCGGGTTCAGACCTTTGGCCACCCCTGTGCTGCACCTGGGTGTGTTGGAGCGGGTAGAAATACTTCCCACACCAGTCATTCTGATATTGTACAGGTATCTCATGTACCTGTGGCTGCTTGCCACTGTTCCTTTCATCTAATTATGTGTTTGTTTTCTCTCCCTTGGCTTAGCTTCTAGGGTGGCTGTGGATGTCCACAGCTGCTGGCCAAGGAGGGCCACCTCCCCAAGGACTCGTCCTGCCTGTACTCCTGTGACTGGCATAACCATGCCCTTGGGCTCGCTGCTGCTTTCTGCCTTCTCATGAAATGAGTGCGTGGCCCTAGCAGCCCTGCCAAGGCAGGGCTGACTTACAGCAAACCCTCCCAGTAAAACTCTACAAGCCCAAGGGTGGCCTTGAGGTCATTGGGGACACTCTTGGCAAAGAAAATAAGTGGAGCTGTTGGCTTGGGGGCTCCAGGCTTCTCCCATTACGCTCCCTTCTGTAGTGGAATGTAAAACACGTTTGTGTGTTATGTTTGGGACTGTCATTTGACCGCTGTCCGTCTCCTATTGTGCTGCTCCCTGTGTGCACAGCCATGCTCTGAACAAGGTGTCATTCAGCCTCTTGAAATTAGAGGTGTGGGGGGGAAACACGGCTTTTTGTCTGGCTTACCAGACTCCTCCTGGTCTAGCGATGCCTTGGAGTGAATGCCCTGGGCTTCTCCCACCTGTTGGCGCAGGCTCAGCAGACTTCACTGCTGCTAACGGAGAGCTCGGCCCTGCAGAGGTGCTGGTCAGACTGGGAGGCAGTGCCGTGGCTCCTTGCTCATGCTCTGCTTCGAGGACTCGCTTTGACCCCAGCTGCAGTGCCGCTGAGCCCTCTCAACTGCGGGGCATGTTTTTACAAACCCAGGGTGACACCGGTCTACAGGAGATGCATCCAGTAAGGATGAGGTACGCGCGGGGGAAAGGAGTGGGCAACGGCTAGGGGCTAAAACCTCATCTAGCGCAGCTGGCCGTAGGACATGTATCCTGGCGCCCGGCTGCGTAGTTAAATTATGGAAGAGAAGAGGATGCTGGATTGCAGCAAGTTTGGGGCGGATTGTCCCCAGTCTTACGGGTGCACCAGCTCCAGAGCAGTGAGCACACGCGGGTCAGCCGGGAAGGTGCAGCTCGCTTTAAGCAAAAATGCTGGTATCTGGCTTAGCCAAAGCAGCAAGCTTTGCTGGCTGGGTTGCATTCCTGACTGGTGTCGTCTAAGCCTGTCGCAGGCAATCGCACGGGCTTGGGTTGCCTGGCTGGCCCGTCTCCGCTTCATGAAACCCTCCTTTGCTTCTTTTCTCGTGTCCTCTTTATGGCCTTGAATGGAATGAAAATTCACGATAGCCATTTTCACAGGAAGGTCTCTCTTTGATGTTGATGTGACCGTGCATGAGATCAGTGGGTCCTCCTTGGAGGCCAGTGTTGCTGGGCTTGGAGGGAAAGCTGGAACCCTTACTGACCTTAGCAATCTTGAAGTGCTTTATATTAAGCACGTGCAAAATATTAAAATTACTTTTTTATGGGCCCTCTCACCTGCATGCTGCTTTCCTTTACTTCCCAGAAACGAGGGGCTCTGAGATAATACCTCGCTTCTGCAGGAAAATAATTTCTTTTTCAAAGCATCTTCCTAAAATATGCCTGAAAAAAATATCTTCCATCTTGTTCCAAGAGTTGGTCTACGTCATGGTTTTGCAGGTATTCAGAGAACGAGAAAGGTGAATTGTGCTGGGCTCAGATTTGGTGCTCCTGGCACTGGCGCCGCTCGGGCTGTTGCTGGTTGCCCAGCCCGCCCCGGCACTGGCCCGCTCTGGCCGGAGGGCGCTGATTTACCGAGTCGTTAGGCCGCTGTGGTGCTCGGAGGGCACGGCCGGCTCCCGAGAGCTGCGCTCAGCATTTCTCCTCCTGCTCCTCGCTGGAAGGGGTGAAGCGATGGGCAGAGCGGGGCTAGCAGCGGGGCTGCGTGCGGCCAGCACAGGCAGATCGGATCCTCTCCCCCGGTGCTGCTTTCCAATTAAATATACACAAATTGCTGTACTGCGTCTTTATCTGCTTTGGGGTGCTCTGCCCGATGCCATCCCAGGGGAAGGCGTGCTGCGGTACTGATCTCGGAGTACTCTCTGCTTGGTAGTTACTGTGAGATGCCTCAAAATTGGGGGTTGAGATCCCTTTCACGAGCTTTATTCCAGCAGCAGCTCTTCTTATTCTGCATCTGAATGTCTGGTCTCGAGCTCTGCGTTGTTGTTGCTTCAGGGCCTCGCAGATACGCAGCCATGGGGCTCAGCGCTGCCCCGGACCCTGCCTGCGCGCGGGGGGAGAGGGCGGGAAGCTGCGGGAGCGGGTGCAATCTGTTGTGAGATTGCACAAAGAGTTGCTGCTTGCAAAAGCGCGCTTTCCTCATGCCGGCTCCCCTCCGGGGACGGCTGCAAGAAGCTCTGACGGGCATTGCTTGGGCTTGGGCTTTCCTGCAAGCAGGGCGTGTTGTCGTCGGTGCTTTCCTGGCAGCCCGCAGGCCGACGGTGGTGCGGGGAAGCGGGGATGGCGCTATTTTAGAAACCCATTCCGTTAGCAAAAAGGCTTCATCCTGCCAAGCTCTATTCATAAAGAATAGCCCTCAATAACGGAGTAAGCTCTGACTGTGGAGGGATGGCAAGGCCTCTCGGGATTTGACTAACAGTTTTCAGGCGTGGGTTTGCGTTCGGGTACCCCTCTGCTCTGGAAGCTGCTGTACCCTGCCCGGTGCAGCCCGGACCAGCAGCGGTGGTTAAATCCTGACTCACGGGGCAGAAGCTGTGTGCACCTTCCGTGTCGGAACGGGCTCGCCCCGTCCCAGCTTGCGAGGCACTCGTTCTAGAAAGTGTCTCCCTGCCCCGGTGAGCATGAATGACAGTTTTCCCATATGCAAGGCTTTTCATTTATTTTCCATCGTTTGCTAGGAGAAGAAGAAGAAAAAGAAGCACAAGAATAAGCAGTCATCCGAGTCGGACTCGGACAGCTCGGACTCTGAGAGCGATGGGGCTCAGCCGGCCAGCAAGAGGCCCAAGCATTCGGGGAAGCCCAGCAAGGCTCAGAAGAAGAAGAAGAAAAAGAAGCACAAGAAGAAGCCCCGGGACTGAGCGGGCAGGCAGGGGCAGCAGCATCGCGAGTCCCTGGTGCCCACCACGAGGAGTGAGCAGAACTGAATCGGCCTTCCCCTTGCTCCGGGGACAAGGAGTTTCCGTCTCCTAACAGCAGTGCTCGGCGTGTGGCGGTACGGGCGTTGACTTGGATACAAGCTGTCCTCTGTTACCTTAGGCGCGGGCTGCCCTTCTCTCCCACCGGTAGGCACTCCTGCCAAAATTGGTTCATTGCACCCCTTCGTCGGCACCGCTCCCATCCTGTAGCCTCGTGTTTTGCTGGGGGAGCTGCCAGCGCTCGGTGGCTCCCCTGGACAGCGCGGCCGGCTGCACCGAGCCTGCGTGACATCAGCCTCTATCCGCTTGCCTGTAAAAGCTGGAGCTGTGCGGCCGTGCTCTCCCTGCCCCTCCCCACACCGCGCTCGGGCACGGGGCTGGTTCTTGCTGGGCCCTGCGATGGGGCCATGTCCTCCCCACCAGTAACGGTGCAGAGCCGCTTGGCTTTGCTCCGCAAACCCTCCCCCGGCCTCGCTCATTTTGTCTGCAAACATTGGGAGTGAAAGAGTAAGAAGCAAGTGGAGGAGTGGAGATATTTTAAGTAAACATTAACTGTGGTGTGTTTGCTGCCTTGGTAAGTGATGGAAAATAAATCTCTCCCATCTCCAGTTGTACTTTGTACTGCGTCTTTTCTTCTATGTGCTCCACGCTTCGTCTTGGGCAGTGGAAGAACAGGGCTAGCTGTTTGGGAGGGGACGTGACCTGCATTAAAGGGGTTTTTGGCAGTCCTGGCTGCTTTCAGAGCCTCCCCGGGGTGGGAAGGGGGTGTGCGAGGAGGTAACCCCTACGAGAAGCCTGGTGCCTTCTGGTAACGAGCAACTGGAACATAAATCTTGTAACTGGAGCTGAAGGTCAGGGGGCTGGGATGGCAGAGGGCCGGGCTGGCTACGGGGAAGCCAGTGGGGCTGCCGGTTGCTGTAGCAGGAGGGGGACTGGGGGCTGCTGGAGGCAGCCCGCCCCTTCTCCCTGGGCTCTGCCCTTTCCAGTGCTCCTTGCCCCAGGGCTGAGTCCCCCCTTTTGGACCGGTTCCCTTCCCAAACCCAGACACAGAGTGCTTGTGACCTTGATTCCCAGCTCGGCCGCTGCCGGGTGCGCGCCATCGGCTGATGCTTTGGCAGAGCGCGCCCGCCTGCACCGGTGGCGGAAAGATCGCTCTCGCTGGGATGGAGCGTGCCTGGATCCCGGGCCATTGATGGCAGAGCTGCTGTGGGAGTAAAATACTATCCCCTGTAAAAGCACGTTTCTAACCATAACCACCTCTTATTTCCACAGCTCGGAGAACCAGCTGAGAAGGGCTACTGGGATCACTGATGGTTTAACCCCCTGTGCTGGTTTTGGCTGGGGTAGAGTTCGTTTTCTTCACAGTGACTGGTATGGGGCTGTGTTTTGGGTTTGTGCTGGAAAGTGTTGGTAACACGGGGATGGTTTGGTTATTGCTGAGCAGTGCTCACACAGAGTCAAGCCTTTTTCCAAGTCAACTGATCACAGAGCTGTAACAACATGGCCTTTATTATTTTTCCATGTGGGTTTTCCCACTGTTAATACAAAAAAGAACCCCAACGGCGCGGGGCGAGGGTGGAGGTGAGGCGGGGGGTGAATGCGGCACCGGGTGACGGGCGGGGGAGCTGGGGACGGCGCCTATGTCGCCCTCTCATAGGTGCGGGTGGAGACGACGTTGCCCATGGTGAGAGTCTGGTGGCAGAAATGGGGGGGGTTAGTGGTGCTGAGCTGGTTCAGCTCCCAGCTTGCCGGGTCCCGGGCTGAACCCCCCCGATTTAAACCCATTTCTGTTTCCTTACCAGAATTAATTTCCCATCCTTCAGCTCCCGGACCAGCGATGTCTCCTTCCCATCCCACTTCTGCACGTGGATGAGTTTGCCTCCATCCAGCTTGACCAAGGACTGCGGGGAGAGAGCACGACCCGCCGTTACCTTCCCCCCTGGGGTTCCTTGGCTCTGGGGGCTTTGTCCCTCAGAGGGGACGATGCTGGGTGTCCTTGTGCTCGCCTTGGGCCCCGCAGGGCTCAGGGACAGGCTGCGGGTGCCACTGTCGGGGTGCCCATCTGCCAGCACCCCGCCTGACTTTGCCAGCCGACTTCAGTGCAGGTTGGATCCTTCTCTGGCCACCGGCCGGGCCATGGCCTCGGCTGCCCCCCAGCAACCCCACCGTGGGCCCTGTCACGGTGACCCTGCCCTCCCTGACCCAGGGCAGCACAGGGAGCCCTGCCCAGGGCCGCATCCTGCGCCGGGACCTGATCCCGGCCGCTCCCAAGCACGGCTCGCTGGCTCCGGTGCCGGAGGAAATCAAAGAGACAGGGCAGGTATCGGAGCAGGTATCGGTGCTTTGAACTGGACGGCCCAGCGAGGGTTTTTGGAGGGGCTGATCCGGCAAACACGCCTCTGCTCGCCGGGGCCGCTGTTTGCGCAGCTGTAGCTGTTGACTCAGCCCCGAGAGCCCGGCCGGTGCCAAGGCTGGTGTGACAGCCGGCTGGGCACGGCCCGGGGGCGGGGGGGGGGGGGGGGGCGCCGTGGGCAGCCCCCCCCCGCCGCACTGGCACAACAGGTGCTGGCGGTGCGTGGGTGCCCGGTGCGGAGCAGCCCGCCGCGCTGGGGCAGCTGGTCTGGCGCGGGGC